AGGCTCAGGATGTTGATATTTAGTCAGTAGCATGCTGGGATCAAGGACTACTATGTTTGTTAAAGTGAATGACTTTGACTTATATTCAAGGTCACAGGGGTCAAATTTGTTTAAAATCTTTAAACGACCTCTTCTGAATAACCATGGGTCCCAGGATGTTGATACTTTGCAAGTTGCATCCTGAGATGAAAGGCTATAACATTTGTTCAACATAATGACTTAATTTGCCTGTAGCTTTATTTTAGATCACTTTTAAGGTTACAAGTGTGAGATTTATACCAGGTGAGCGATGCAGGCCCATTGGGCCTCTTGTTAAAAGAAATTCACCTGGTTTTTGAGTCATTAGAAAAAGTCATTTAATCATCCTCATATACAACTGAAGTGTACATAACTGTACAACTGTATTCAAACTTATAGTACAGAAAATCAGAGGTGTTCAGTCTTTCTACGGGAAGTACGGCTTTCCTCCACCACCAAAATCTGGCACGTCCTAAAATGACCATAGCTGTTAATAGGACGTAAAACACAAACAAACCAAACCAATGATCAGTCGAAAGACACTAAATTACCCATAATGCTGTTGATCCATTGTTGTGATCTAATGGGTATGAAGCTTTTTATTGCTGCAACATATATATCATTTTCAAATGTTATGTTTTCAGGGAAATTACTTGGTTAGTATAGATTTATTATCATGACATAAATTCTTAATTTTTAGGCCATGCATCTTGTGTACCGGTGTCTAGAAAAGGAACCGCTACCTGCCACATTACCTCTCATGGTAATACCACCCTCTAAGAGGAAGGCAGGCGTGGTTCCAGTAGGCGTGGTCCCAGCAGGCGTACCGGGTGGTGTCCCGGGTGGTGTACCGGGCGGTATCCCAGGGGGGGTCCCAGGCTTTGTTCCGGGGGCTATCCCTTCCGGTATAGCGATGGGCGGTGTACCTGTCCTCACCCCAAATGTCACCGGACGATCCACACCACCCCAGCGGTCAGACTCGCCCAGTGTAAGTAAAAGACTATCCTACTGAGAAGAAAATGTATTGCATACAATGGGAGGATATCGAAAGTCAATCAATCCTTTTGAGAACTCATAAAAGTTGTCACTTGGGGTTTTGGTAGAATGGTAGAATGCTCTGATGTCGCCTGGTACCAATAGCATACTCTAAAATCTTGTTTGACTTGAAAAGAAAAGTGCTCTGTTTTAGGCACTTTGACTTTCTTGCCATAGTTATAACCTCATACATGTTAGGCATGTTTGAGTCCATTACCGTAGTACTCAATCGCCACACTTGTTCACCGATTGGGGCTATAAACACAATTAAGATGATTTTAATGGTGTTTCGTCAATATTCTTTTAGTTACCTTGTTAGTTTTGCGTTTTAATGGGATGTTTCCATAGAAGAATATTAAATTGTTTATTTAAAAGGAAAACGTTTTAATTTTTCTGGTGACCTGTTAGCAAAATTTGAAATTTGAAATTTTATTGTATACTGTTAAATGTTTGCTGCAGTTTCATTTTTCGCCTTTCTCACCATCCGCAACAAGGGTTAATTTATCAGGACAGCGAATATTAATACACAGTCTTCCCTATAGTAGAATTATATGTAAAGGGCAAAATTAACACTGGGCTAATAGAGATTTAACAGAGAAGGGGAGGATATCTGACTGGACCAAAGGTTCCTGGTATACAGTAGTTAATCTGTCATTTTGGATTGTGTTATGTGTTATAGTTAGGTTTTTCCTTTGTAGTTGAATGTTCCGTGGGTTGTCACTGCGGCAGAGAGGACCAATTTTGATTTAATGTTTAAGAAAGCAGATTTAGACATGGACGGATTGGTGTCTGGTCTAGAGATTCGCGAAGTCTTCCTCCAAAGTGGTGTTCAAAACAACATATTGGCTCACATCTGGTAAGCTCCATTTAATTGTTTAGATTTACGTTTCTGTAAAAACATGCATCAGAAATAGCCAAATTATAATGTTGTAACCAGATATTAGAAAAATTACTGTTTCAATGTAGTACAATTATTTCCTGAGTTTGTTTATAAACCACTGCTAATATATATAACAAGCACACTCAAACTTGACTGTCACAGGGGCTTGTGCGACACCAAAGGATCTGGCAAGCTTAACCCAGAACAGTTTGCACTGGCCATGTACCTAATACAGAAGAAGTTGAAGGGAATCGATCCCCCTGCTCAACTCAGTCCTGACATGGTCCCTCCTTCCATGAGGCCCAAGCAGGGTGCTGATCCTACAGCTTTTGGAGTTACGGTAAAGTTTAAAGATCAGATTATACATCATTGGTTTTGTACTATGTAAGTTTCATAATTACGAGGGAAACTAAATTTATACTGTATTCAATTTACAATTTCCAGATTGTTGGGCATGTAGTGTTGCTTTACTAGAGATTGTTGGGTATGTAGTGTCAGTTTACTAGAGATTGTTGTGTATGTAGTGTTACTTTACTAGAGATTGTTGTGTATGTAGTGTCACTTTACTAGAGGTTGTTGTGTATGTAGTGTCACTTTACTAGAGGTTGTTGTGTATGTAGTGTCTCTTTACTAGAGATTGTTGTGTATGTAGTGTTACTTTACTAGAGATTCTTGTGTATGTAGTGTTACTTTACTAGAGATTCTTGTGTATGTAGTGTTACTTTACTAGAGATTCTTGTGTATGTAGTGTTACTTTACTAGAGATTGTTGGGAATTTAGTGTGACTTTACTAGAGATTGTTGTGTATGTAGTGTTACTTTACTAGAGATTGTTGGGTATGTAGTGCTACTTTACTAGAGATTGTTGGGTATGTAGTGTCAGTATACTAGAGATTGTTGTGTATGTAGTGTTACTTTACTAGAGATTGTTGTGTATGTAGCGTTACTTTACTAGAGATTGTTGTGTATGTAGTGTTCCTTTACTAGAGATTGTTGGGTATGTAGTGTTACTTTACTAGAGATTGTTGTGTATGTAGTGTCACTTGACTAGATATTATTGGGTATGTAGTGTTACTTTACTAGAGATTATTGGGTATGTAGTTATATTTCATTGGTTCTGTTGAATTCATAGTTTCATCATTCAGTGGAAACCATTGAAATAAATTATATGCTATATTTAAGGAATTCGTTCTTGGTGATTTAAATGTGGTGTACTTGTGACACTTAAACATCACCTAAGTGTCTTGTTCTATCTAACAGGACGGCACAAATGCTGGACCCTATGGGCATGTTGCAGATTTCTCTGCCATCAAAGAATTAGGCATCATCAGCAAAGATATTGAAGATATGAAAAGGTAACAATTTGTTTTTTTTTACCTTGAGGTTATAATTACCTAAAAATTGATATTGTCTAGGAAAATGATGGATAATTTGTGATTTCTGATTAAGGAATCACGTTTTGTTGTAAAAGAATGAGTCATAAGGTGTAAAACCAATGGCATAAATATAATATTATTGTATACTGAAAGTTATGCAGAGTGGTTGAAGAACAGGGTCAAAAAATTACAAGCAACAAGTCTTTTGGTTCTGCTCCGTGACTGATTGCTATGTCAACAGGTTTTGATCGACCACTGAGCTTCTTATCTGATGTAAAAATGTTCAGGTATAGATAATCAAGAGCCTTTTGATACGGGAATAAATATTCTAAAAGAACTGACAGATATACTGGATTTATGAAACCAGAAGTGCAATGTAGTTGTCTTGGTCACCACTCTTTGAAATTCATATAGTCACATTGTAATCAAATGGAATGGGAGATCGATTTTAAATGAATCCCTCTAGTAAGTAATTTTAGGTGTATAAACAAGTTTTCAGCCCTTAATATTTCATCATTCTTTGCTTTATGGATCAAACCAAACATGAGGGTACCTACAAAATTATGCAATTTTGAAAAGAATTAAAGACAATTTGGAAATTGCTCTGCTCTGTGAAACAGGGAAAAGCTGCAGATAGAAAGGGACAATGCTCAGAAGGAAGCTGACATTAAGATTTGTAACGGAGAGGTACAGATGTTACAGAAAGAGTTGGATGCTATTACCGCCACGCTACAGCAACTGGAAAGTCAGAAAAAGGAGGCTCAGAAACGACTGGATGAGCTGGATGACAAGGTTTGAATTCTTTCTAACTTAAGAGTGTTGAATCAAGTGCATGGCTATAACTTTATTTTCTTTCCAACATTATTACAGACTCCCATACAAAACGTTTGTCAAAGTTACATAATTCTGTGTCAGACAGATTAAACAACATTGTCTGTTTACTTCTATTTGGTAGTTGTCAGAAATCAATATTTACTTAAGATAATTTACCTTTCTTACAGAAGTCAAATTTAGAAAGCAATATGAAAGAGATGAAGGAAAAGTTGGAAGAGGAACAAAAACAGGTATTTTTGTTTTTGCCCTAATTCCATGTTCAAGTAAGACGTTGATATTAAACATGTCAAAATTGAAGTGTCAATTTTCTGAGTGGAAATAAAGAAGGCTTGTTGATTTTGATGCTCTTTCTATAACCTTAGACTTAAACATTAAAGAAAAATTTCAAATTAAAAAAAAACATTCTTTATAAATTCAATTTTAATATGTTGCAAAGATCAGATGAAAATTAACCATATCTTGGCAATGTTGTCAGATATAGCTATGAGTTGAATTCATCAGATGATTTCGTTACAGATCGTTACAGATCGAATTATTTTTGAATTATTTTTGTAATAATTTTTGTTTTATTGTTTCAAAGGTGAATAGTCTAAAATCTCAAATAACAACACAAGAAAATTCTGCAATGGTAAGTAGACAGTATATATCAGTCTTTTATCATTTCATTGTTTTATAACAGGTTATAACTACCAAATATTTGTATTTTTACTTTTATGAATTGAATGGGCAGTTAGTTTTGTTCTTGATCTCACAGGTTGATAATAGAATATGGACATTAGTTATGACCAATTTTCAATACCAAATTGTTTCCATTAATAAAGTGTTACTTGTCTCAAATAGGAACATGTATAAATTGAAAACCTGTCTATACCAGACATTCACCTATAGTCCCAATGTAAATCAAATTTGCAGAAGTGTTAAGCTGTCCATTGAAATAGTTCAAAATATTTCAGAACATTTCTCGCAGTGGTATAAGTGCTATATCAAAAAAGTGTTGAGACTTATTAACATTATGTATTTTAATAGAATCAAGAAGAAGATCTTTCCAAGCTACGTGTAGATCTAAACAGTCTTCGAGCTGAAGAAACAAGGCTGGAGCAACAAGTAGATGCCGGTAAACTACAATTGGATTTACTGGTCAAGTCTAAAAAAGACATTTCTCTCCAAGTCAATCAGGTAGGTACTCTTCTGTAGATTTAAGGAAAGTATTCGGAGATAGGGAATTTTCTCTACAAGGTAATCAGGTTGATTGAAGGAAGATATCTCCTTCCAAAAATAAGTCAATCTTCATTATGTTAAGGGGAAGAGGAGCAGAGAGGCACACTTTTTTCCTATGGCCGTCCGTAAACTGTATAATGCTTTAAATTCGCGGGGTCAATGTTTTGCAGTTTCATATTCAGTACATATTCACAGGGGTTAAATTTTGCTGTGCACACAAATCCCATGTGTCGTGCAAAGTATTTTGAGTGTCATCATTTAAGGGTTAAACCCTCAAAATACAGGTAAACAGTTTAAAAACACTGATCCCAAGCATCGGCATCCGCCAGTGACTTCACGAGAAAGAAAATCAAATGTGTATGTATCTTTGTAGGAGTAAACTGTGATCAATTAAACACCTACTGTGTACACATAAATATGTTGTGGCCACTTATATGTAAGTGTTGTTTTTACATGGACTGTCCAGTTGTCCTGTGATAATCTGATTTGAGTTCATTTAAGCTTGCATAACAGCGTTGGGTTATAAGTATTTTCAACATGTTGTGATAAGGTCCGTAAAAGTGGTAAACGCTTTCAATAATTTGGCTGGTGTTTAGAGTTCACGGATATTAATTAGTCAAAGCGCGAATATAGCAAAATGAAACCCCCCGCGAAATATAACTGCTATACTGTAAATGTTTAAGGCGCCACTACCCATATCTTATAATTTACAAGTGCCTCCCTATCCTTTCCATTTATTCTTATCTGGAATAGCCCTTTCACTTATTTATTGTTTATTGCAAGATGGTTTAAATGGTGAAGTGAAGAACTAAATGAAAAAAAATGAAAAAAATACTACATTTATCAATAATTTAAAGTGAAAGATCAATTTCATTTTCAGACTCGAACAAGAGTTCAGCATCAAGAGGACCAGAAGAGAGGTATGAAGCAGAGCTTAGGAAACTATAGCTCACAAATTAATGGTGACCTGACATCAACATTGTCGGGGATACAAATGGATGACCAAATGAGTTCCCGGGCGACGGTAAGTTACTACAATTATGTGGCAAGGGCAATTATGCAAATCAGTGTAATTAGTTTTTGTGAATACTCCTTTCCATGTTTGTGCTTGAGAAGATATTTTTGTAAGGGTTTCCATTCAAGAAAGAAAGAATGTTTCTCCCACAACCACTGTAGGTTTCCGTCCCATTCGATAAAACTAGCTGCTAGGAATTTGTAAACATTTTTATATGCCCACTAGTGAATAACACCCTGTATGTTATTTCATTCGTCAATCTTTCTCAATATGACGTTACCGGTGGTAAGTTACAATGCTTTGCGACGTCATCTTCCCTTGTGATTTCATAGTTCATGGCAGTTGTTTCCCTGCTCAGGAATCGGGAATAATGAACTCCCAAGACAAACATATAGTTTTCTAGGTAAAATGTCTGAACATTTTGGGGAGAAATAGTCCCAAAACTTGTGATAGTTGATTATCATAATTATCTAACTCTCGTTTGTTAATTTTCAAATTGTAAGACACTCGGTCAACTTCATGTCTTTATACAATTTGAAATTTAACTAACTCAAGTAAGATAAACATATTAACCTTCCATCACTCATTAATGTCTAAATAAATAGATATTTACCCATATCAACCAGACCTATATATGTGACATATAATATACTGAAAGCCATTTCTAGGACTGTTTGTGAGCTCTCCTATAGATAACTGGTAGCTCAGAGAGGTCATGACACATTTCTTATTGGTGTGATTCTGATAATTGTACAATAACATTGTGTATAATCCATTTTACACCTTTGTTACAAGTAATACTGAAACATAAACAGTGTATGAGAAATGAGTTGCCCAAATGTGTAAATTTGTAAGTTTAAATCAATATACAATGTATACCACAACTTATTGTATTCCTACTCTGATTTTTAAATTCTTCCTAGGTCGGTAGTCCTGCGAGTTCACTTGGTAGTTTTAGTACTGGGTCAGCAGTGGACGACTTCAAGGATGATCCGTTTAAATCCAAAGACCCGTTTGGTGGAAGCGGTGGGAGCGTCAATGTTCAAGCAGATCCCTTCCAGTCTGAGGACCCATTTAAAGGCAGTGAGTACCATGCATTAACGATAGAACACTCTCTGAAATGTTTTGCAAATGTTTGCCTGTATGTTAGGGCTTTAAAACAATATATTGTGCGACGTTATGTTGCGATATTTTGAATACAGTACAAAACACCGTTTTTTTTGGGAGGTCACAAAACACCTATGATATTTTCCAGATTTTGTCGTTTCTCATATCAGTTCCAACATGGTGAGTGACAGCTACAGCTTGGCATGCAAGACGAAAAGACATGAATTGTATGAAAAACATTTAAGTCATGGCCATTTTACACCAAGTTGTAATATTGCCATTAAAAATTTGCAACATTTGTTTCGCTCTGCTTCTGCTGTTACTATAAGTATCGGGATACGTATCGTGTCCTTACCACAATATCACAATACATATATCGTATTGTCATGTCTATAGAGACTTTTTTGCTGATCGGGATTATTTTTAAAAACTTATTTTTTCTATTCCAGGTGATCCATTTAAGTCAGATGGTTTTAGTTCTGATCCATTTGCATCAGAAGATCCTTTTAAGAATGCATTTAGTGGAACCACAGCCCCAACATCTAGTGCCAAAGTATATATCCAAGGCTGTTTAAGAAGTCGCTGTTGTTTTAATATAATCCCGATGACAGTATTGTTTTTGGAAAACGCAGAATTTGTTGTTGTTGATGAAATCATCATTCCTTCTAATAATTTAACAGTAGACAAGATCGATTGATGTTGTGTTCCAACAATAATTCTTAAACAATATGAAGATTATGGAGAGTGATTATGATTGACTTTTACAGACACAAAAGTAATAGTGATTGTCATGGGACAGTAATTACGTTTCACTTATTGTTTATAAACTTAGCTGATGTGTAATACATGTGAAAACAGCATAATGGAAAATCTTTACCCCGTTTGATTTTTAATATTAACTCTCTGTAAGTTTCAACTCATTGTGATCACTTGAAGGGTGAACCTAACATTAGGAGAATATAAATGTTATTGTTGAAAGTTGAAAATTGGTAATGTTCCATTGAAAAATATGGGCAGATAGGAAACATAAATGTTGAACATTTTAAATGTATAATTGTAAATTTTCCCTCTGCTATTTTAATGCATAGAAAATAAAAGGATTCCTTGACAACCACCTCTATACATTGACAATATCCCAAAATTATGTAAACTGTTTTGATATAGAAGCTATACTTTTTCAATATAAATCAAATATAAGCATGTTTATATCTCCAGAAGCAATTTTCTGTAAATCCTGTCATCCAACAATTAACTATGGATTACCTAACTTATCAAACTGCCTCAAATGCAGCCAATTCTGAAATAACTCTAGCATGTTGTTTGATGTAAAAGCTTATTGAAAATTGAAATCGTAAGGGATGGTACAGCATGGTTGACGGCCCAGTCTGGGGAGTCTCAGTGTAGCATGTGCATGTCGGAGGTATCACTGTTGTACCTCTGTTTCAGGATGACCCCTTCTCCAGCATGGACCCGTTTGGTTCGGCCTTTTCTTCAACTTCTAGTCCTTCCAGTAAATTTTCTACAGACTTAGATCCTTTTGGGGGTGGTGGAGGAAGTTCTACGGCCAAACCTTCAACTTCTGTAAGTGCCTGTTGCTATTCAACACTATAGTATGCAGTTTATCCACACTCTAATTAAAGAAGTCGGTGATATTCTTTTTATTTTCGTGAATGGTTTAAGAAGTAATTCTGTATGATATATGTAAACTACAGGCTGTGTGGTATTCTAATGGATCCTGACTTACAGCATGTTTATCTTTCCTGAATTATTAAAATTTCTCAAAATTAATATCAGATGCGTTTGGAATATTAATTAGAATATTATTTATTATTTTCTGATCAAGTGCTAATCATCCAGTGCTTGCTTTGTCCAGAAATGGTAATTTAGTGAATTATATTTGGCTTTTTTGTTCTATTTTACTGGTAATATATTTATATATATATATATATATATATACTTAGTATATGGGGGCAAGGAAGTAATTCCAGCATAATTTTTATCCCTTCAGCTTATGTTAGCGGAGGGGCTTATCATTTTCAAATATTATCTATATCCCATTATATTTCTATTTCATTTTTGTGTAATGTAAGTGTTCTATGTTTTTCTGTGTCTCGATAAAGGAACAGACTGCTCCGAAAATTTTGACATTATATACTGTCTACACTGATGGAATTACTCCCTTAGTAATTCGTATCTAAGGATCCAGTGTTATATGGAAATGTATCGTTGATGTTACCTCTTTGACCCATATATTTCTCTCTGTGTGTGTATGTGTATGTGTACATTAATCAGTTAACATTAATTTATACTTTCAGAAAGTAGGAAATCTGTTTGGTAGCGATCCGTTTGCTCCAAAGCCAACAGGGAGTTCACCCTCCCCATCCCCAGCCCTTCCTCCCAAACAGAAAAAACAACCACCCCCTAGACCAGCCCCACCCAAGGGGCGTTCACCTTGTCCCAGCCCCAGTAAGCCCACAGCCAACAGTTTAGGAGTGTTCGGTAGCGACCCCTTTGCAGGATCTGATCCTTTTGCAAGTTCTGGAACGAACTCGGGGGACGATCCCTTTGCCAACTTCGCTGATTTTAGTCCCAGTAAGGTAGGTTGGATGTGAAGTATTGTTCAAGTTTGCTGTGGTGCGTGTCTAAAGTAATCTTATCTAAATATCACTAAATATAATATGTATTGTCACTTGTTGGATATTTCTGCTATCTTTTTACTGTTTTTCTATACTATTGTAGAACAAATATGTATCCAAGCACAAATGTTGAGTCGTAGAATTTTCTTGAAAGTTCAGTGAAAGTCATTTCTCTCAACTTCTTTTCAAACCCTTCTGTTTTCTCTTACCTTAATTTACAGAAATTAATCAGTTTCTTATTTCTTTCAATCTAGTGAAGTCATGATTTTCTTAACATTAATCTTGCCATTTAAAAGGAAAATGTGTAACACTTGGGTGAGAGAAAAAAACATTTTTTGTGATCGCTAAAAAAGTAATACCACTTTCTCCCACCTGACAAACCCTCCACCCCTGGCGCATCTTGGTCCATACAATATTTTCCCGTAAATCTAAAGTAACTTTAAGTAGAGGAATCAGAGCAACTCTTAATTTTTGTCATAGGTTATTTTAAATCACATTTATTAACAGTTACAATTATTTGAAGTATTTGAAATTTTCAGTCTCAAAATATCTTAAAATATCTGTATAGATGATTTCAATAGGGGTAAATAGCAGCCATATTTCTGTATAGATGTTTTCAATAGGGGTAAATAGCAGCCATATTTCTGTATAGATGTTTTCAATAAGAGTAAATAGCAGCCATATTTCTGTATAGATCTTTTCAATAGGAGTAAATAGCAGCCATATTTCTGTATAGATGTTTTCAATAAGAGTAAATAGAAGTCATATTTCTGTATAGATGTTTTCAATAGGAGTAAATAGCAGTCATATTTCTGTATAGATCTTTTCAATAAGAGTAAATAGCAGCCATATTTCTGTATAAATGTTTTCAATAAGAGTGAATAGAAGCCATATTTCTGTATAGAGCTGTATCGATAGCAGGACGTTCCTTACAGTTATTAACTATCATTTTTCTTTTTTTTTTCATAGTTGAACAAATTCAGTTAATTATAAATGCTTGCAAAACTATTTACCATCGTGAAAACCAGAATAGAATATAATGTAGTCAGGAAAATATTGACAGTTTGATACTGCAAAATTGGAATGATATTTAATGGTACATGGATATGGTTCTCCGGTCGCTGGTTGACATCTGCTTTGCACCATGCCTTGACACATGTACATGTTCTGTATTAGAATCCATACAAATTGCCACCATATCCTGCCACAGCGATATGTATATGTATTGTTATGCTACTACCGCTGCACAGCGATATGTATAAAGCATATACAGCCTTCCCAACCCTACATAATCTACCCCACATATCATACAACTTATGTCACATTATCTTAGCTCTGGTGTCAAGTTACTGGAAATTGTTGAACTTTAACTCCTAAAAAACTATGAATGCAGTGAATGGATTTGCTCTTCACTTGGAACAAGATTCTGCAGTTATATTTTTAATTAACCAAATCAATGATTTAAGATAAGAAAATTGCTGCCGAAAAGCAGCACCCACCATTAATATGCTCCTATCCCTTATTACAGCAGGTATTATAAGCGACTCCAAATATTGATATTTAGTTCTCTGTCTATTGTTATGCCCTTGACAATGTAAAGTGCCGCTTAGCCCTTTCACCCCTATGTAACTTTAGTAGACTCTACCATGCATTGATCTAGATGAGTCCATTATGGTCTACAGTGGCGAAAGGGTTAAGGGTATTTTTATTGGACATTATTGAAAATTGTGTAGATGATTTTGCGAATAATATCTGGTACCATACTAGTGTTCGACTATGAAAGCAAGTTGTCCTTTATATAAAAAAATACATACTCAAAAAATCTTGCATAAATTAGTTTTTAATAATAAGATCCTCTTCAATGTCAAAAGTTTTATTCTTTTTTGACAAGAGTCCTTAAAATACCTGTAGCAAAATCTTTCAAGAGTTCATTCTCCTCTTTGAAAACCTACATGTGTAGACTATAGTGATGTTGTGATAACGGACTCCCTATGTATTTTCCCTATTATGATACTTGTAGATATAGGGTCACTCTTATATCACTGCTGTCCAGTTGTTGATGTGGTTGGAATGATCTGACTAGAATATTTTGGGAGTTAAATGTTGGCAGACCGATTTCGGGCACGACAAATCATCAGAACAGCTAAACATACACTCTGGTCTGGTTTGGAATCAGTGGTTAAAAATCACAATTTTTTCAATGTTCAATTTAAATCAGTTTTGAGTTTTGTGTTATGTCCTCAAATGATGTCCCCAGCTGTTAAAAGGACGTTTAACAAAAATAGAGTCATACTTTACAAGAAAACGTATGGAAGAAACAATGGGGATTTCTGAAATTTTAACAGTGTATAAAATTGATCGTCAACATCGTTGTGACTTTTAACCTGATGTTCAATGTCAATCATGATAAAACAGTTCTTACCCCAACACTCACTCCAGCTGATCCAGTCAGACTGTTCCAATCACATTGAAAGCTGTCTGTGTATTAACCTGGTGTATTGTAGTACTAACCCTATCTATATAACTCTCTGTCTACAGTTTGAGGATGACAAGGCAGCGTGGGGTTCAAGTTAATTCTGACATGTGTGAGCTTACTGTACTAGCACAATGCCTGCCAACAGGACGATCTCTCGTGTGTTCAAAAAACATGTGATAATATCTAACCAGTGTAGGCAACACAACCGTGTTACTGTACTGGATCACAGTAGACGAGGAAACAGGAAGATGGAGAATACAGAAGGAAGTTGCAGTTTGATTAAACTAAGTGTTATTTTGCATGTTTAGATTCATAGATGATTGGACAATCTCAAGTGTAGGAGGAAGAAAACGTTTGTTAGATCATCAAGATAAATAACTTATCCATTAATTACGCATTTCTTTATAAAAGGGAAATAAGTTTGCTAACATGCTTCATGGCTAATCATAAACGGTTAACTACAAGGTAGAGAAGTGAAACAAGTGTTCATCAAACGTTCAAGATACTTGGATACTTACTGGTACGCTCACCAACTTCATGCATAACATTAAACTTTTCCTGTGTATTCTGTATACGGTTCAATCCCAAATCTTCGTACAATGATATGTGTATGTTTAAAGTGACTTCCAATGTATGAAGAATTTTAGTTTGTTACATACAAGTTGCATGTCCTTGTAGTAGGAAGTGATAAAAACAGATAAAGGATGAGGGGTATATATTTCAAAATGGTGAAAGCAGTATTGTTGGTCACAGATATCTCCACCGTTCCATAATATATGGTGTAGGAGTCATTATATCTTTGGAAAAGATAGAATCATAGAAAAATATCAAATTTGCCATGATTATATAATTATTCAAATTCCGAGTTTTGAAGCGTGGTTGACAGTCATTATTAAAAAAAAAATTGCATAACACCATATATATGTGTACTTAACTTTTCATTCCAAATTTTTAATATACATTTATAATGCAAGTAACGATCAATGTGGTAATTTCAAAACATACATGGTTTTGTAGGACCAATTCATGAAAACTTGAAACTTGACTATTGTAAGGAGATTTTATTGATAACACGGCATATTCGCTTCAGGAAACACTAAATCAGCGCAAACTAGATTCTTTTGATTTGATGAAAACTATGTTGTCCGTTATTTCAAAAAGGTTGTTCCCACAATTTGATATTCTGCTTAAACCGTGCAATTTACCGGTACAGGAGTCAAGTAGCAGGTTCTTACTTTTCAACCCTAATATGCTGAGTTTGTAGTGTAATAACTTTTCCTTTCCTAACGTACAAGTCTGTGCCCAGCGTATGAGTTGAATGTGTAGACAATGTCTAAACTATTAGTCTTCCTCATTACTCCTCCTGTATGTAACTGGTGATAGATGTGTGACTTGTTGTACTGTCCTATGTACAGGCGACGTTTCATTGGATCGCTGATGCTATCTGTATATATAGCAGTTTCAGACCGCATCTTGCAAAGTCAACGTTAAATTATGGATCCACTTTCAATGTTGATTTACAAAGTGCAAAAGTGAAATGACGCAATAAGTATAACATTGAAAACAAAACACGAATTATATAAAATAATAATTGATGTGGATATTTTAAGTTTATTTTTACTACAGTTGTTAAACCTCTCTGATATATATATGTATTGTAAACTGATTGACAATTTTAGTGTTTCTAATTTATTAATATTCAATGTCAAATTAAATTAAATGATAAGAATTATCAGTTAGAACATTCTAGGTAAGTACTAGTACATGTAATGTTGAACTAATGAATAAGTTGAGTTTGATGGCTATTCCAGTAGACTCGAGTCTGACAGCTCATTGATTGCATTGTGTTTGAACCCTGTCAGGACCTTTTTGTGGACACCAGCTGGGCAACAGACTCACAAAGCTGGCTGTCAGATAAAAAAGGGAATCCACCGTCACACAGTGCCTCCAAAACCGGAGATTCTCAAAACTGGGTGCTGGAGCTCCCTAGCTGGTCAGTGGACAGTGACTCGTCCCAACAGACCTCCCCCCGACTCAAGGCCGTGCTACAAACCTCAAAGACGGTCCTTCCTCTCAGCAAGGGGCGCCGGACTTCTTCCTCTTCAAGTGCAAAGGTTTCCCCTAGGACACGTCTCACCGAGTCTGTGGATGAATCTGATGCTTGATAGTTGTCTGTAAAATAAATAAATTGGTCAGGGTTATGGCAGTCTATATCGAATCAATGAACAGACATTCTTTATTTGTATATCATTATAATGAATGAAAGGACTGCTCATTGGTCTGTTGGTTTCTGGAGAGTGAACTTATTTGTTAGCAAATATTTTTGCAGTCGGTTTTTATTCCGTACTGTCAGTCTATAGTGTATGTCTGTAGAGCAATTATACTTGTCAGTGTTCTGGTCAACACACTGTCTTGGTCCTTGTTTAATCTTTGAGGTAAAATGGTTCAGATAGGTATATAATTTTGTTAATATCTCTAAAGTCAAACAGATTTGTAGACCTCTCCTTACATAATGTCTGACACTTATTTATCAGCTGCCGGTAACTGAATTTTGATGACATCGGGTGTTCAAATATTCTGCGTGATTCTGTGTTAAATATAATTGTGTTCCGATTACTGCATAAAATGTTCATATCTATCAGGAAACGTTTCATCATTTTGTAGTTTTATCATTATTTATACGTCTGACGTAAGACACCCCTAAGTTTCTAGTCATAGTCTGAATGAGATATTTCTAGACAGAACCTTATACTGTATGTTAACGCAGGATCGTGGTAGGTCAGGTGCTTGTGTACACATCTTATTACGATCACGTGATTTCATTGATGTCAGACTCGCCACTCTTTCGTAATTAGTGCTCTCGTTACTCTGTCATTAGCAGCAATTGTTGCTAATCGGCTACAATGAGGCGGTTTATATCTGTTTGTACATGTAATAGGTATAAAGCATTCATCATGAAGGGTAAATTCGAGTCCGATTCCTAGGACTCCCGACCTCTACTAAATATTAGATTTGGTTATTAATTTTAAGTATAACACAATTTCTGACTCGGCATTTTTTAAGCTGTCCTTTACTAGTATTGTTTCATCAATAGTTGATTACGGAGCCAGTCGTTGGTTATAGGACTGCATTCACCGTGAGCAACGGTCAACAGTCGCAGTAACAAAACCATCCAGTCACAAATCAAAGAATTCCAGATAAAGCATTGCCACTCAGGTCGTGTAACCGCTCCACTGAATACACGGTATTCAATTATTGCGATGCATGTATTTATTTAAAGCATAAATGGCGACGTATACTTGTATTTTACTGGTGTTTTTCGCTGGCAATGTAATTATTTGTCACTTGGCAGTTTGTATAAGTGACTTTATAATGATTGTCTTTTAAACTTAGTCAAAAGTCATTCTTACCATTCTTGCTCATATTAAAGTTCATTACTTTGATGACAGATTTATGGATGGGGTGGAAAGGAAAGGAACGTACAGTACTGAGTAGTGTTGGCCAAGTTTTGCTGCTTACTTAATTATTGTCAAACAAGCACATGAAACTTAATTGGCAGTTTCTACCAGAATATTTTCAATGTGTGCATAAAAAATAAAGAAAATTATTGAGATTTAATGAATTTTTACAATGTATGTATATATATTGTGTACGTTTTGTATGGAATCGCGGTGTTAGAATTGGAAGTGTCTTTGTAATGATACACAAACAGTGCTGTATATTTGTTTTTTTTACTGTACACACAATATGTATATGTTGTAGATATAACCTGTGATAAGTTACCATTAGTTATACACTGTTATTATTATTATTATATTGTAGCATAAATTGGCTGTATGTATATATACCTAGCACTCTCTTACAAGGTTTGGCGTGCAATGATTGAATGGATGCTGTACATTTTGTATTGATGAAGTATTTTAGCTTCTGTATTGCGTCTGTGATTGTGTGCTCTGGAGCACTTCATGTCATAGAAATTTTCTGAAAACAACACAAACCCATGGTTATAGGGTTGTCAGACAAATATTGCCAAATATCGTAGAATCTAAATGCAATGAAATACCATACCATATCATTGTGGGCTCATTGATTGAGTAATGTCTGTTGATTTAAGTTTTTTCTCTCCAGATAGTGATATAAATAAGTGTGGAAATTAAGGAGTACATTTTCTTAAAGAATGTGTATCTAACAACCTGTGTATCACCTTGTTCAGACTCGTTCAGTCTTCATCAACTCGTTAACCTCTGAAAACACATTCAAAATCTTCCAATTTGGAATAGTTCATTATGACATTTCAGTGGTGAATGAGTTGAATTTGCCATGTTCTACTTTTAAAGCAAATATTGAGCTTTACCTGGGCTGTCACTCGATTCCTTGTATTTAGATTCTTTTTCTTCTTTATTTAAAAAACTGAGTAATGTTTTATCCAATATCAAAACATTATGCGATTGTTTTTCTATGAAATGAAAGATTTTATTACTACTCGTTAGTATCAATAATGCTTTCAGTGATGAAATTAGCAAAACCAGTATATTGTATTGTCAAAGTTATTAATCTTAATTCCATTTTTGAAACTTTTATCACTTTGTCATGCTAGCAATTAGGGTTCTTAATGAGACCACAAAATGTTTCATTACTCCTTCTGGTATAATCTTCCCACACAAAAATTCTGTGAAATGTCTGTTGTTTTGAATCAAAGATGGATAATGAATTGTATTTACCCGTTCTGCATACAGCTGACGAACTTTTCTTCTGCAACTGAATATAAGGATGATTTGACACGGGAAAAAAATCAAATTTGTAAAATACGTAAAAAAAACCCAGGCAAATTTGATCAAAAGAATAATTTTTTAGAATGTAATAGTGCTTCTTCAAATTGTGTATCAATAAATGAATTTGAGGAATACAGATGGTATAATTTATGTCAGTTTGTAACATGTACATGAGATTGGTTTAATTATTAGCGATACCCACATACACCAAATATGTTCCGACAAAATTCCCAAATTATTAATACTTAAATTAATATGTGTGTGTGTAAAGTCAGTGACGTCATTTCATTATATAGTCATCATCAGCTCTCATTCATTAAATGGTTACGAAGTGCAGAATCTTTCGTGTTGTCATTAAGGAAAGTACAGTCCCTGTTTGTTTTACTTCTGGCATGCATTCACTGTTACGCGGCACCACCAAACATTTACATGCGGAATGGGCGGTGTATACTGAAGTAACAAACCAACAGTAGCCTAGAAGGAAGGAATCACGCTGATTGCCTGGTGAAAGGCTAAGACTCACTCTAATAGCTTGTGGTCGGGCTAGGGATCACTTACAACTGATGAAGGATTATTGTTACAACTGTTATGTGGATAGAGGTCACTTACACCTGGTATAGGGGTAGGTGTCACTCTGACTGTCGATTGGTGAGGAAGGGATCACTTTGGTGTAGGGTTGTTGGTCATTCTGGCAGCCTGGTGAGGGGATAGAGGTCACTTACAACTGGTATAGGGGTAGGGGTCACTCTGACTGTCGAGTGGTGAGGAAGGGGTCACTTTGACATCCTGGTGTAGGGTTGTTGGTCATTCTGGCAGCCTTGTGAGGGGATAGAGGTCACTTGCACCTGGTATAGGGGTAGGGGTCACTCTGACTGTCGAGTGGTGAGGAAGGGGTCACTTTGACATCCTGGTGTAGGGTTGTTGGTCATTCTGGCAGCCTGGTAAGGGGATGGAGGTCACTTACACCTGGTATAGGGGTAGGTGTCACTCTGACAGTCAGGTTGTGAGGAAGGGGTCGCTTTGACAGCCTGGTGTAGGGTTTAGGTTCAGTCTAACAACTTTGTGTAGGATCAAGTATAGCATACAAATAATGAGAGTTATGGATCATTTTGACAGTCTGGTGATCATGAGGGGATAGAGGTCACTTACAACTTGTATGGGGGTAAGGGTCACTGACAGTCAGGTTTGGGCCTAGTTTTCATTTAAAACTGGTAGGGGTCACTGACAACCTTGTTTGGGCCTAGTTTTCAT